GTGTCGAAAGTTCTCAACTACTTGAGAAGGACATGTTTAGAGTCGTAACAGCTCCATCATGAACATCGTGAGCGAGTAGTCAGATGGGGTTTTGACAGGCATAACGATACTCCTGATAGTGCTTAAATGGTAATCAGTTCGTTTGTGACTAGCGTAAAAGCAGGTTTCTCTTTGCTGAAAGATAGGAAACTTTCGTTTTCTAATAACTATGTACTGCCGACAGCATATTTTCGAAACACAAGTACATGACCAGACGTTTTCATTGTTGACTAGCTATATATTAATCAACCGTTTTAATGATTAATCTAAAACCTACTGCGCACAACCGAATTGTTATTGATACCAGACTCAATTGACCAAATACCCAACAATCACAACCATATACTAGATCTCATCTCTAAATCTGACTGGATATCCTGACCCTTTAATGAGGTTCTCTTCAGCATAGCATTTTGTTTCCACGTGATGCTGGGCAGCCTTCAGTCAGCCTTGTCCTAATGAACTCAAAGTTAGGTCACGAACCGGTTGCTTATTGTTTCCGTATAGCTGTCACCTAGCAGTGTCTGTTATTTAACTTCGGTTTTGTATGTAGGGGTTCGATCTCGTTTCGTTCAGTACATTCCTCTTGATCCTCAGGCACGTACCGGTTATGTTTTGTGACTGTTCCTTTCTGCATAGTATGGGACTTTGCGTTAGAAAAACGTCTAACTGCGTAACAGCAGAGAGACATTCTGTAGTTTTGGCAAGTTGTGTTTCCATTGAGTAGTACTGCAAACTTATGCATCAAATTTTGTTTCAATATAACCAAGGACTTCGGGTGACTCAAGGAAGCTTCACATCTTATACAATAGAACGCTGTGATTGGGATCAACTTTTTTATTGTCGTTCTTTTGGGTCACTTTTGAGTTCAAACCGAACATTTTAGTTCCAGTCATTGTGCAGATTTTGACAAAATAACTTCATTATTGACAATAAATTTGTCCATGGAAGAGATTATTAGGAAGAGGATGCACAGTGTAAGATCAAAACCAAGGTTTGGACTGAAAAATATCTGTCTAAGTTTGGTAGATACGCGCCCTTACCCGAATGAAACCAAAACAAAGTGATTGGGTAGAACGAAAGTTCTGAAATTCATAATAAATTTGAGTGTATATTATTACCTTAACAAATATGACCACCCAGCTATTCAACCAACATTTGTTTACTTAATCAAATCTAAGTTAAAATAAGTGAGAATTTGATAACGGATGCGAGAAAATTACCAGTCTCAACAAATAAATACTATTCTATCCTGTCTGGATATACCACACAATGATTCGTTCAAGAGATAATATCCCGTTGCTTTATAACACAGTGTTTCCAATTCTAAAAGAGTGCCTCAATTCACAATTAAAAATGCGCAATTCCAGTCAATACAAGCAACACAGCCAAAAGGAGAAACCAACCAATATGGCTGTCACCAAGACTAAGTATCAAGTAAAACAACATAAACGCAGTTCAGGAAGAAACACGGAAACTTAGTACAGGCGTAAGAAAAATAAAAACTATAATAAAATACAAATATTACCCACTCAAATGGAATAAAAAAGATCAACAAAATGCACAACTAAAGGAATCAATAGAGACAAATTGCAAGTGTATACAAGGAAAGATTTTCACACACAAAACATTCCATATGGATCTTACACACCGAGTCCTATAGTTTTTGGCCATACGTATTACAGACTCAGAAACAATAGAAGATGTGGGCATTTAGAATAAAATTCATCTGCTTTGTCGTGGAGTCAGTACATAAGGCTTAGAGTCAATTAAATACATGCCTCCATTCATCGGCGAAATAAACGAAAAGCATTTTGTTGTCTCATTGCAACATTAATAAGGCTACTGCGTGAAGCAAGTTGGGTGGTTCTATTTTGGTCAAGCATAAAAGTTTATCACTCTACAGAGGTATGTAATAAGCAAAAAAAAGCCCCATTCAATTAGACAGAAACTCAATCTTAACTCGTAACCCGGTGTTGTCGTCCTAACGGTGATTTATCGCTTGACTCAGACGAGTAAACTTGACTCACACATGAAAAACCTTATTTTCGCTAGTCAACACATCAAATTCCTTTTTAATAAGACCCTAAGCTAATTTAGGTCAAATATTTCTACGAAATACGAGTAAATTTACGAGGGTTGAAAAGCTCGCAAATTTGTGGATCTGAGATTTAAAGTAACCTAGTTATTTTATCGCAAACTTCCTTCTAAAAGTTCACGATTATGAGAAAACTTATGGGAATTTCATGGAACGACGAGATCGAAAAAAACTCTTAGCACATAGAAGGTCCGATTAGAGCATTCCAATCAACGTTACTCACTTGTTCTGTACAGTTAAGTCAATTCACTTTTTGAAAACACCCATATAGAGAAACAGGAAAGACACTCCTACAGTTTGTTTTAAGAGAAATGGGACGCTTTGTGGACGTTATCTCCAGACGGTTAGTGATTGGGAAGATGCCCCTGGTATATATTAGGCCAACCATGTTTTTCATCCTGCCTGAGAAAAAAACATTCCATGTTTTCCATAGAATTTGATCACTTGTGTGGACCTATGGCGGTTAAGATGGGCGTCAATATAATCCCATGTAAAAAGAGACGTTAAAATTCCCCCTGTCAGTCACGCAAATAATAGGGTGCATTACGATACGTTGAAGTTCACGTGCTGTGTTATCAATTATTTGGGCACCAGAATTAAACTGTTCATATAAATATTTTGGTAATAGCGAAATATGTGGAAATTTTTGACTGCCCTATCTCGTGTTATTCTAGACAATGTAAAGGTACGATAGCTGTTGTTATTGTAAAGATTCGCACTCATACCCATTTTAAGTAGTGAAGTTAGTGAGAAGATTTGGGAGCCTGACCGTTACATTTATGGCACAACACGAGAGTGGTTTCACTAAAGAATAAAGAATCGTACCATGGTGAGTCTTGTTCGTAATCATACGACCCTTAAATCTAAGCACACAATAAATGAGAAGACTTAAATAAGCCCACGAACACTTTGATAAAGTCAATATAGATCAACTAGGGAACAATGATTCGAGTTGACATGACATCTTGAACATATTCTTTAGTGTTTCCTGAAGAAAACATCATGGCTGTCACTATAGGACAAGTCAGAATAAGCGGTGATGAGGCAGTAGAACTGTGTTCTTGTTCAATATTAGCACATTTGTCTTAGCTACTATAATAATAGGCATCGAGTCTTTAGTAATAAGGATAATAGGTTGGTGAACCTGTGTCAATCTTAACAGACTGCCTTCCAGTGGAGATCCAGCCTCTCCTTGAGAATATTTACTGATGGGGCTGATACCACTTGTTCGGGTAAGGCATCCCAGTCATTGACTACTCGATGAGGAAAATGGGACCCCACTTTGAGTCTGTTAGATCGCGTTTTGTGAACCTTCTATCTATGACCTCGGAGATTATTAGTGCTGGACAGAGCAAAAGGATAAGATATATTAACACCCAAATCATAATTAAAGATACTTCGCGTCGTACGATACGACGAGGAGAAAAGGTTTAGGGGTTTCAAATGCTCATCGTAAGGAAGTTTAGAAAGACCCTTCACTAATTTCCTTCCCACATGCTCGGCGAAGTGATCGTAACGCACGATAACCTTTGGCAGCAGCTGAGTTGCCGTGCATATTTGTTTTTAGGTCATGACTTATTATTACTCTTAAGTCTATGAACATGGACGCGTGGAAGATATGTACCATCAATAATATAATGATAACTATTACCGTGTCTGATGTGAATGAGTACACTATTCCCATAATTAACTTCCAAGCCCCAACCTCGAGCCGATCTAATTAATTCATCTAAGTCAGCTTGGAGGTCAAAATGATCGGCCTCACTTCTTATGTTCTGCAGATTTTGGCATCATCCGCAAACAGTAGTGCCAACGATCCAGGCAATAGCGGTAATTTATTAACGTAGAAAGGGAAAAGTAGAGAGTCTAAGGTGGTGTCATGGGATACACCACTTTTGACGGACTTCCATTCGCATAGCGTTCCATTGACCCTCACCCTGTGTCTGCGGTTACATAAGAAGTTTCCTATCCGTTCCTGTACAGCACCTGTTATTCCGAAGCTCGAGAGCTTCTGAACAAGATCTAAGTGTGAAACCTTGTCAAACGCTTTGCTAAAATCGGTGAACATCACATCGAGAGACAGACCGTTATCTAGGGCCTCTGTCCAGTCCTCTCTCGTAATAAGTAAGTTAGTCAAGCATGAACGCTTATTACGAAACTCATGTTGCTCCCCCACGAGGGGTAACTAGCGTAAATGAGTAAGTAACCAAAGCTTTTGAGGCTTCATTTGGTATATGAGTTTCAATTTGCGAGTCCTTGCTTCCAGCTTAAGGCGAATATGTTAGAACGAGTTCAACGAAAAGAAGCCGAAGTGGTTAAATGTGACACTGACCTAATTTATGAAATCTGACTAAGACGCTTCAACCTATTTCCGTCAGTTTACTACAGATTATGAGGTGGTTTTATACTGGCCAACCGTACAGTGAATTGAGATGCCGGTAGAAATATTTCTTACTTTTTTTCTTCGCCTGAGCCTGGTCTTCTAAGAAAGGCCGTAACCACGATCAAATCGTTTACATCTGAAGTTCCGTTTTTAGTGTAGATTAATGAATTACTTGAATTCTCTACCAAAACGCGTAATATCGGCATATTCCGTTCACACATTCAAAGCGTATTTAGATCTTCATAGTACTACAAATCCCAAGGATTAATATAGGTCGACTGACCTATCTTCGCTACTGAAGACTGAGACAAAATTGTACGGGGACAGAAAAAAATCAATTAATAAATTCCATTTTATGACTAATATCAAACTTTTAGTCTAATTCTTTACGACAATCAATACTGAATGGTAAAGTCTTATGACAATACATTGGCCAATATACTTCTTATTCTGCGTCAGACGTTACGTGATCACATCTACGTATTTAGTACTCTGTTTGAATTTGTACGCGTACAGTTTGTGATCATGAACCTAAGCGAGATAAGAAATGTGAGCGATACGAACGGGACCATTACAAACCTGGAGTTCAATCTAGATTCCATGATTACTAATTCAGCACTGTTTCTCCTGGCTATAGTACCTATTTATATAGGTTCTTTCCGTTCAATAACTAGTAAGAAGTCAACTGATGAGATAGAAGTTGTATCGGGTAAAGATGCAGCACTGTTTCCATTTCTCGCCAGTGCTGCACTTTTCGGGATTTACGTCGTCTTTAAGGTTTGTCAGTGTATATAGTTCTACTATGTTAAAGTTCATTCCTATTCAGTACATCAACTCCGTTATGAAGTTATATTTCTCTTTTATGGGTGCTTGTGCAATATCTCGGTTCCTGTCGTAAGTACTTATTCTGCTAACTGTATGTGTAGACCCATCTTTCGCCCGTATATGCCGGGTTGTGTAAAAAATATGCGGTTCAAGTTTGAGTTTTCAAGAAGTTTAGAGAACTCAGATGGTTCCGAATCTCAGTGGAACTTATTGGGTAGGTAGCCATGATTGTCTACATCTCACCTGATAGACAACTATGATTTTTCAGTTGAGTCGAAGGATTTCATAGGGACTGGCATCGGTATTTTGCTTGGCACTTGGTACTATTTTTCAGGAGTAAGTCAAAATAAATAGCTTTATTAGGTAGCATTGGATTGCGAACAATTTTATTGCAGTGACAGTTGCTATTTTGGCCATTGAATTCATAAGGTTGAATAAGTTCGTAAATGGCATATTACTTCTTTGTGGACTGTTCGTATATGATATATTTTGGGTAAGTTAGATTTCGTGCTATACTTTAAGTCCAGGTGTTTGGAACTGGTGTCATGATGGCTGTCGCAAAAAACCTAGATATTCCAATCAAAGGTAAGTAGTCTTATAACTTTCGTCAAACACAGATCTGTATTTCCTGAAGTTTATTACTACGTTTGACTTGATACCATTTTATTATATCACTAATGAATCCTGAGTATAATGTCGTCGTTTCGTTAATTTGCCATTAAGACTAAACTAGTTCATTTAATGAAGGTAATCACATTGCTGAGATTGTTGTAATTAACTAGTTAATATTGTAGTAATTAAACCAAGTAATTACACTTGAAAAGTTTCAAGGTAACCTTAGCAAATTTCCAAGTTTTCCATTTGATCACTTTTATTGATACACCAAATGAGTTGTAAAGTGTAATAGTCGTTTGTATGCAATTTTTTGCAGATGACTCTCAGTAAGTTTACTGGAATTAACTTAGTATATGCTTGTACGTTGGCAAGCTTTCAATAATAATTGTTGATAGTTTTCCCGTCACCAATTAATTAGTTATTTATTCAAACACATAGAAATTGGTTCAAGAAGGCACCAAATAGATATGCACCACACAAGTCATTTGATTTGTGTGTGGGCTGTGATACTGCCCGGGTGCCCAAATCAATGGCCTCCAAATGCCCTGGTACGGCCGAGGGTGGGGAGAGTCAGTTCTCCCTCTTCATGTGCTTTCACATGGCCGCGCGTATACAGCCACTGTCAGGGAAGTCATACTCACAGCCTTCTTGTGACGGGGGTGTTGTTTATGAAACAGAGGACAAAAAGCGAATGTCCGGCGCTCTAACCAAGTTGGCGGATATGGAGGATCCACCTAACGAAGTTGGAAAACCCTGGTTCCAAACCAATGGTGCACATGGACTCCTGGATCCTAGGGAAACAAATGGCGTATGAACCAATTATTGGCTACCGGCTACCATGGGACTGCATCTCCTTACGTTGCTATTTGTGAATCAAACATTTAGGTCGAAGGCTCCGAGTGCGGCCCCTTAAGAAAACCATCTGCTTCGATCTGAACACCCGGGCAGTATTACAGTCCATACACAAATCAAATGACTTGTGTGGTGCATATTTATTCAGCGCCTCTTTATACCAATACTTATTTGTGTTCAAATAAAATAATAAATAATCACTCATCGTCTTCAGAATCCCATTTTTAGAAAACCTGTATATCTCTGATTTTTATTAGTTAGGTTTCTTACCCAGAAGTCTAATCAACTTGAGCGGACGCTGAGTTTGTAGTATTAGTATTCTACTGAGAAAATTAGGGATGTCCATGTGTTTCCTGTGTTTCGGAAGTAAGAATGCTTTAAAGCTGAACCATTTTAACTGGGTTTTTTTATAAAGAGTTAGGGATGGTTGGATGTTTAACTATTATATCAACCGCAATGGATAGAATATCCTACTGGATCTGAAAGTTCTTTTATTTCTCGCTTATGCAATCTGTAGTCAAGCGTTGACCTAGTGGTTGATGGATTCGTAGGTATCTTATAGCATATGTGTAGTACACTTAACGAATGAGCAATAATATTGTTAACCTGCACTGCCTGTAGCGATAGGGTTGTCACACCTACCGAGTTACTGTCTACTGCATTTTGGTATCAAACTTCAAATACTAGAAGTGATTCAACCATATACTCTTATCTGAAGACCTATTGCTAGTGTGCCAAATCCTTGACTCCCCAAATTGATCATCTGGATCTCAACCCTTCACTTTTGATGTAAATATATGTTTGCTTGCACCTGGTTGCATCGTTATCGTAGCTTAACCGTAAGAAATTACTCTGGAAATAATGTAACGATGATATGTGTGTGGGTTTCATAATAAATACATCTGGGGTTGCCCATCTATTCATGTTTATCCACTAACTATTAAAAACAGTAGTAGCTTAAGTACAAACATTTAGTGTTCGGCCTTCCTAGAAGTTAGGACTGCCTTGCATGCAAGCATTTCTGTAATATTAGGATGGTTATTTTGTTAACATCAAGTAAGCTATATCGCTAATTATTTATAGTCTATTTTCGTTCATTTAAACATTGTGATAAAATGTTGAATGTTGTTACCTTATCTTTTTAGTTACTTTTCCGCGTGATTTTCTTTCACATGGATTATTCGGCAAACAGTTAGCTTTGCTTGGTCTTGGTGATATAGTTGTTCCAGGAATATTTATCGCCATGCTTCTTAGGTTCGATACAAAGTAAGTTAGTTGCCATCTTTGCAATCATACAAGAACCCTCAAAATATGTCTTTTCAAATTGAGTGCATTTTGGCACTGTTTTGTATATTCCTTTGTCCATAAAGCTTTGTTAGTTAATAAGGGTGCAAGTGTAATGACAGCGATGCTGCCTACCAAATGGAGGGGCAGGGTTAGAAAATGTCGACCCCAAAATTGCGCACCTCGCTTTATCGCACGGATATCCGTCTTCGGCGGTAAGGTCTCAAGTACGGAGCTAACACGAAAATTACTCACAAAATGGTCATGTGTGGCCGACCTCAAACACTTGTCCCTTGGGCACTGCGGACACGCCCTCAGGTCACTAAGATAACCTCTAACCCGATTTCCTTTACATGTACCTCCAGAAGAACCTTTGCAACCAAGAAGTGATAACTGCCCTCATACCTCTAACAGCACTCAAGATCACTGTATTCATAATCAATCACTCTCTTCAATTCCCATTATTCCTTCTACGTCGACTTTCAACACTAAACTTCCTCTTTTGTCCTCCTCCTCAAGTGTCATCATAGCCAACGATTCTAGTGCGCAAAATGCTCCCAGGTCTATTGAAACCTCGCTCCAAACTACACATTGTAGCCATAGACGTACACACTGTGTAAAATTGACCAACAGACCTCCTTGGCTAAAACCCCAGAATCTCGTACCATTGATGTTTGTTGTGTCTCTAAAACGCACGTACAGGATCCTAGTGTGGTCATTCACTTGACTTCACCTCGCCAAAACGGACAGCCAACGAGATACACCCTCCATGTATCTGGCGACTCGATGGCTAGTTCTCGTGGACTGGCAGGTGTAGGCATAGCACTGAGTACAAGGGCAGAACAAGCACTATAAGAGTGGATCCCCGTTGACAGTCGTCTATGTACTTCTCGGCTAGACGGCTCCGTAAGGACTCGAAAGGATAGGGACACACGTCATTACCTTTTCATCGTTTCTTCCTACTCTCTCACTAACTGCAGCTGGGATGAAGCGAAATATGATTTATAACATCTAAAATAATAGCCTCAATAATTATCGGACGCCTAACTAACACTCGTGATCTGCAAACACGAGAAAATCAGGCTGGCTTCAGACCTGGTCGTGGCTGCATCGACCACATATCCACCGTTCGCCAGGTTTTGGAACACAGGCATGCTTATTTATTTATTTATTTGAACACATAAATATTGGTACAAAAGGGCACCAAATACATATGCGCCACACAAAACAATGAGTATGGGAAGGGAAAAAAGAAGGACAATAACAACCAGATTAGTGTAAGGTAGTGTAACGATAATAATAATAATAATAATAATAATAATAATAATAATAATAATAATAATAATAATAATAATAATAATAATGGGGGGAAAACGCAAAGTTACAACCGGAAATCTTTCAGTTGGGGAAGATACAACAACTTTTCATAAAGAAAGCAAACGAAGATTACAGCAGGATCACCACTGGCTTCTATTCTGAGCCATATCTGATAACGTCTCTAGCCACTGCGTCGCACCATCTCTCGGACCCCAACCAGGGAGTCGTGAAGGACCAACACAAGCCAGCCCCTTGCAGCTTCCTTTCATACCCCGACACCATGTCATACACTGACCACCTCTCCGCTTCATCCAACCAGTCCCAGTGTCGGAAAATAATGCCCGACGTGGAATTCTCTGGGACAACATTCGTAGAACATGTCCAAGCCACCGAAGTCGGTGTTTCAAGATGGTGACACCAGTTGGATTATCGTCTCTGCGCCCAAACACACGATGCCGAACCTCTGCATTACTAACATGGTGTTGCCACTGGATGTCAGCAATCCTTCGGAGACAAACGATGATCAAACACGGAGAGTCGTCTAACATCCTCAACTCGGAGAGGCCAGGTTTCACAAGCATAGAGCAGAACTGCTCTCCCCGATGCGTTGTAGATCCGACGTTTTACAGCCAGACTAACATCACGAAGACGCCAAAGATGGCCCAGATTGGCATAAGCCGCTCTGGCTTTCACTATACGTGCATTGACCTCATCACTCACGCCACCACCAGCACTTATGCAGCTACCTAGATATACGAACTTCTCGACTACTTCTATCTGCTCACCATCCAGGGTGAGTACAGGATTAGAATACTGCCAGTCTTGTAGAAGTACTTTGCACTTCGAAGGTGCGAAGCACATATCGTACCTACGGACACTGATTGCCAACTGATTAAGTGCGGATTGCATGGCTTGGGCATTATCGCACAGTAAGACAATATCATCCACACACTAAAGGTCGAGAAGTCTTTCTCCAGGCAATAGATCCACACCGCCATTACTTACATCCATCAGAACTGTTTCCAGAATGTCATCGATGGCAAAGTTGAAGAGGAATGGTGAGATTGGGCAACCCTGTCTGACCTGACTGTTTGAATGGAGCAGTGGAGAAAGGTGGTTGTATGCCCCCGCTCTGCCTGAGGTGTTTGTGTATAGGGATTTTAGGTTGCTAATAAACTTCTCAGGCACACCCTTCTTCAGTAGAGAATCCCAGAGAACAGACCTATCCAACGAATCGAAGACAGCCCTGATGTCAAGAAACACTACGATTGTTGGCCTTTGAAAATTATGGCGGTGTTCTGACAGTTGGCGGGGAGTGAAGATATGAGCAACATATCCTCGACCAGGACGAAATCTAGCCTGCTCCTCGTGAGTCAATCTCCCTCGGGTTTTGAACAACCTACGAAGTATGACGGAAGCCAATAGCTTGGATGCAATCGGAAGTCGACTTATCTCCCGATAGTTGTTATAGAAACGACGTGAACCCTTTTTATAGATAGGAACAACTATTAACTCATTCCATGACGTTGGAACACTCTCTAGCTCCCAGACCTTTGTAAACAACATCGTCAGTTCCTTAGTCAGAAAGTCACCACCATCTTTAAAAAGAGCCGGAGGTAAGTCATCTGGGCCAGGTGATTTGTGGCGTTTCAATAGTTGGAGTTCCTTGCGGACTTCCGCCTCATTTGGTGGATCAGTCGTCACAGGTCATGGAGGGTAGGACAGTCTGACCGATGTCGCCCGAGCAGCTGGACAGTTAAACTGCCCTTCGAAGAATTCTACCCATCGTCCAAGACGTCGATGGATGTTAGTGATTGGCATCCCGTCATCCTCACAGTTTGTTTCGCTCACACCAGACTCTTAATGCCAGTGGCTTGGATGAGTTGAAAGAACTTTCGGCAGTTACCAGATGCAGCTGCTGCTTCCAGCTCATTAGCACGCTCTGACCACCAGGCTTCTCGGTCCTTACGCAAGCTTTACCCAATTTCATTACGTAAACATCCCTCGTTTGTGGTCAAACTCACGGTCACCCGGAGTAGACCAACGGGCGTCGATGAGTTGTGAGGAGCCTGAAGAAACCCGGCGTTTATAAGTGGGGCGTTTCGCGGAGCCGCAAGCGGCTTCTGATGGCGTCATGAAGTTGCAACCAGTGCTCATCTATACTTTTCGGTGGAATGGTAGCTAGCCTAGAAGCTAGCTCGGTTTGATACTTAATTGCAACAGAAGTTGCATGCTTATCGGAGTCCGATACACGAACTTCTAGACTACTATCTGCTTACTGCAGGTTCAAGCTCCTGCTAGACTTGTAAAATTACTTTGCACTTAGAAGGTGCAAAACACATGCCATACCTATGGACATTAATTGCGGAATGAATGGCTCGGGTATCATCGCACAGTAATACTGCAATGTCAGTTCTGAAATTATTATAGACACCCGTCTTTCTGCGGTTCAGAGATTTTTTACGCTTGTCGCTATTGATGGGGTTATTTTCTTTTTAAAATTATTCTTCATTTAAACTCACTAATTAGGTCCAAACATTAATTCTCTACTGTTTTTTCCACAGACTTGGACGCAATAATAGTCATGCTTACTTCTACTCCGGATACGCAGCCTATATCGTTGCTATCATTATGACTTTCGTAATGATGCACGTATTCAAACACGCTCAGGTGAGCGAACAGTTTTTGAGTTTTCGTTTCAGAGTAAAGTTTCTCACATTTGTTCTACGTAATAAACAAAAAAGCTATTGTAATGTTTACCCTGAATATGTTTTCGGTCAGAGGGATTGTCAAACTATTCAAAGTAATATCCTGGCATGAAAAGCATTTACATGTATATTATTCAATTCCTTACACAAGCTTTGCCCAATTTCATTACGTAACAGCCTTCGTTTGTGGTCAAACACACGGTCACCCGGAGTAGACCGACGGGCGTCGATGGGTTGTAAAGAGTCTATATAAACCCAGCGCTTATAAGTGGGAAATTTCGTGAAGCTGCAGGCGACTATATTCGCCATTTCCATGGCGTCATGTAAATGTAGCCAGTGCTCATCTATACTTTTCGGTGGATTGATGGCTAGCCTTGAACCTAACTCGGTTTGATATTTAATTGCAACAGAAGCTGCAATCGGTTTACTGATATCAATCCGTTTAGGACGATGAATTCGTTGGCCACTGAAACGTAAGATAAGATTGGCGCAAACAAGGGCATGATGAAAATCCAGATAGGTACTCCAAAAGGAGCGGTAGTCTTGTACACGGCCATGCCAGCAATAGCTGATCGCGACGTGACCAATCTAAGTCCAGGTTTGAGACATAGATGGAGGACACCAAGTCGCACGTCGGCGATGACTGCCGAAAGTTTGTGCTAACCAGAAACAGGTAATCTGTGCAAAGTTGAAGTAGTCAATTGCCGTTATTTGATCTGCGAGCAACGAGTCCCTACCGGCCACCTAAACGACTCTCTTTTGTGCCTAGAGGCCTAACCTGAGCATTCAAGTCTCCGGCTAGTACTACGATATTTGTCGGACGCACTTTCTAAAGAAGAACAGTTAACTGGTGGTAAAATTCACCATTGATGGAAGGTTAGAATTTCAATGACGGTAAAGAGTCGAATAATTCAATGTGAAAAATTAGTTCGAACATAGAATATCCTCCTAAATTCATTCTCTCCGTGTTTTCAAAGTTTTCAGATATTGATTAGGATTACGTGTTTATGATTGTACATATAATGCAAGATAAATAATACAAAACGAGTTAAGAAAAGCAATCATAGGTGATTTGACAGGTTATATGACAAATATTCAGTTAGTATTTATGCAATACATATAAAGTAGATGTAATAAATGGAGAAAACACATCTTAAGGTTCACTAGTATAAAGAATATGTTAGACTCAATAATGGTCACAAGTCTACGGTTTATGAACGTCAATATGTGTACTAGATTCTACTTTGTGACTGACTAATTGACTTCAGTACCATCCATTTTATCTGAATAATTTCACCAAAAATTTAAATTGCTGTTAAACTTTTCCGTAGTATTATCATCATTCACTGAAAAGATTCATTGATTGTTATGATCCATTTCAGGATTCTATTTCCTGTAGAATAAGTAGTATGTATTGTTTTTATCCTATTCCATCATGTTTTGTTCATAGCAGGGGATTTATTTTTTAGGAAATATTAGCCTTAATATCCAGTTATTCTAGCTTCCTTATTTTAAAATTATTCCACACTTTCTGTTTGCAGATTTCTATTGGAGTAAAACTTCTGTTATATAAATAACTATGTTTACTGCCTTTTCATTAATCTAGCCGGCTTTACTTTACCTGGTACCTGCTTGTTTGGGTGCACCATTGCTTATGGCTTTAGTGAAAAATGATCTTAGTGCAATGTTCAAGTGAGTTCCTGTTCTGATGTTTTTTCCTAGCAGACAAACCTTTAAGCTTTTTTTCATATTGTCAATACATTCCAATCTGTAATCTAATTATCGTAAAAAAATTATATAAGCTTCTCATTGGAAATGATTTAACAAGACTGACCTATCGTATATTGTAATATTATTTTTGTTTGATAGATGCACATAGTCAGTCATACGACGGTGTAGGCTACTTATGTTGACAGATATAAGTAGTATATAGCAGCAGTCGGAAGTAAAATGCCTGCCAGTAGAAGATTGAATTGAAGAGAACATGAAGGGAAACGGAGAGCAATTGTGATTACAACAGGATTAGAGGGATAATGGAGTGTAGAAAGGATAACGCAAAGAAGATGCGCAAATGATGTATTTCACATTTTACTAAGCCACTGTGTAATTTTGTATCAAACAATAAATTGGTTTTCCCAACATGAGTTCTCGTTCACTACAGTAATGTGTAGCCACTTGTCTAGGAAATGTTGGTGAGCAAAAAAGATAAAATGTGAATGTATTTGACACTAAATTCAACATATTTCAAGGTATATCTTCTGGTGTCTTTACTTCCTAATTTTAAACATTATACCTATGTAGCGAAAGTAAAAATAAATGGATAATCAGTGCATTTAATGAATGTTAGTTTTAGGAACTTGATTGCATTGACTTTTATTCACAATGGAATAATGTTCTGTTATCACTGATAATAACTCTGTCATCTCTATACAGATAGCAAACTTAATTGATTTATCTACACAATTTATGCACAATATACTGCTTAAAAATGTAAAATATTAAGTCATTAATATCGGCTAATTAAGCAGGCACGTAATACAAGTTAATAAGTAATCTGATGGTGATGTTTGTGTATATGTGACTATCACCATATGCACAAGATATTTATTTGTTCTAGCAAAAACTAAGCTAAGGTCATCAGTTGTTAAACCATAAATCTAATTATACATTTCCAAAAATCGATATAGTGGAATGATTGAAATGCTCGTTTTCTGACATTTAAATTTAGTAAGATATTTTCTACATTTTTGTCTTAATCTCCTCGTTGGTTTGTTTAAATCGTTGCTTACTTTATCTTATTTTAACGTGAGGAACTGCTACACCTCGGAAGTGTATTTATATAACCTAAGTTCTTTTTTGTATACATGTGTCAGAACTACCTGAATTAAGTACTAAGTAGGAATTATCTCTAAAGCTGTTATTTTTTAATAATTAATATAAATAACCACGCAAGTTAGATTAAATCATCATCGAAACCTCAGTCAGTTGTTAACAATGTAGATCCTGGAACAAATATGCGTTGGTCTAAGATGCCATATCACGTTAACACATTGAGATGAAATTAACACGAGGATACAATATATAATAATTTAGTAGTAAACATAACGAGAAGGATTAAGCATTAATAATATTCGGGACAAAAGACAATAGTATGTAAGAAGGGATACTAAAACTTGAGATCGAAAAGATGAAAAGTAAATGCACGCTAACGTATGCTAAGCCAAATCACCCGACTTCTGATCGAAATATATTTATGAGGCATAATCCATAAGATGTATAGTCATCAACTCTAATTGGATTATATTATTATTTTCAAAATATGGTAGACTAGTTTATTCAATTTTTTTTCTAGCTATGAAGATGAACCGGAAGCTGAGAAGAAAATTCAGGAGGCTGATGTGTCAAACAAATCTAAGAAAAGTAAATAACAATATCAACCTTTGGGGTGGGGGCAATTGACCGATTTTATCATCTTAATCTGTCCATATATAACTTATGTACACAAATATATTTATTTCTACAGTGTTAAGTGTGTAACGTTTGTGCTACGTGCTGACTGTTTGTTTTGTTTTCTGTAAAATAATGTTGTTGGCGAAAAACCCTAACATAACTTGTTCGTTTGACATTTGTTTTAACCTTGTCGCTTTGCTAATAAAGCTGTTACGCTGTCTGTTTATTTTGTGACATCAATATCCAAAGTCTAAACATAAAAAGTGAAATACCAAAATATGTGAACATTATTGGCAAGCAATCAAGGTTACTTCTTCAGATCATCATTTTCATTTTATGAATACATATTTAAAATAATATCCTGATTGTTTTGACAGTGCTAATAATAAATTCCGTTCTAAATTATACTTTACTTTAAATGCCGATGTATTTGTATAATTGGTGGCAACTGACATTTTAGCGCATTGCATTTTATGTCCATAAGTTGAAATAAAATTGGGGATCACAGATTAGTTACTGAAGTAATGATACGTTGTCTATGCAAATTCTCGGTGATCTTTCGGCGAAACCATTATACCTGATACGGCATGAGAATCTCCTTGAAGTTTATGTTTTAATGTGAAATGTTAAGTAGATATTACTCGGTAGATCTCTTTCTTTCCATTTAATTAGGCACGGGTATCTTAAACTTTCTAGAACTCTTATTGGATACACCATGCTTTGATTACTTAAGCCACGAAGCCTAGTGAGGTAAGTCTATTTTCAAACATCTTACAATTAAGAAATAGACAGCGATGTGTGCTAGCGTAAATCTTCCTATGTAACAACTCATTGAATTATTTGCTTCGAAACGTAGGTACAAGGATTAAACTACAAGTAAGATTTTTTGTCTTTGGATTTGACGAAACTGTATGACTACACTTAATTGTACGACGGTTTACTCGACAAGTAGGTATTAGTAACAAGATGTATTAACAAAAAAACAGTGGAAAGGTGTTATTCACAATATTAATAATCCAGTATGTGATACATCCGTTTGTCTGACTGACCAGCTACAACTCATATTGTTCAGGTACACCAATAGTCTGAATTAATTCATGTCCTTGTATTCTGGTCAGTTTACAGTTTCTTATCCTATTCAAACTTGTATTCAAGCAGAATAGAGGCTGGTAGTAAATTCTTGTTCCCATTTCCAACTCGCTTTGTATGTCAGGATTAGTAGTTTAACGCACAAAGTAAGTACGTAACACCAGATAGTTTGGCATTATAATTTGTCAGAAATGAAATCTCATCTTGCTCCCAGGGATATTTGTGTTTACTCATTCTATACTGTAGGCGGGTGATAAAGACAGTCTCAGTACTTGTTTCCCGATAGCAATTTCAACTCCTGAGGATAATTCGTTTATGCTTCAAGGATAATACCTTCTAACTGACTGGTTTCAAACAGTACTCTACGTCGTACAACAACTACCATATTGTTAGCAACCAGTTTATTTTGAGGAAGGGTGTACTTCTTTCAATTGATGTGCTAATGGGGTATAATTACAAGACACTAACTTGATGTTTCTCATGTGCCGCACGACATAAACGCAAACTATGTAGACCTTTTGAGTTCTGTTTTGGCACCTGGGCAATACCTAATCCACACACTAATCAGAATCGAAAAGAATTACCTTCGCTTCAATTCGCGTTCTCACAAATTGTATTTACAATTATTTGGTAACACTAGTTTATATCACTTGTTAGTTCCCTTTTATTCCCATTTTGTCTATCCCTTTAACTTTCAACTCATACAGCAGGCCACCTATGTTGCGGGTCCTGTCCTATCTAGATTTCCTTAGGTCATTGTTTGGTTGAAAGTTGAATACAACCATGATTCTTGATCAGTCTTTTTAAAACACGTTATTCATTCAAACTGGACTCTTCCAACGTTCGGACATCAATGTAGGTTGGACAACAGATAGGGTGGCTATGTCTTTAGAAAGTCTTAACATCGACATCTGTTGCCTATCCGTATCCAAGACTCTAGTGAAGTACCACAAGTTCACTCTCCATTTGTCGCTTCGAGGTCGTTTCAAATATGTACTTAAAAGGACTCTGTGGAATCTTGATGAGTTTTAACACCAACTAAGTGTTGTTCAACAGAAAAAGAGTTCGACAGATATTGTAGTGTCAACCAGGGACTTGAGTGCACAAGTAGGGTGTTTAAAAGAAGAAAGTCGTTTAGGTGGCCGATAGGGACTCGTTGCTCGCAGATCAAATAACGGCAATTGACTACTTCAACTTTGCACAGATTACCTGTTTCTGGTTAGCACAAACTTTCGGCAGTCATCGCCGACGTGCGACTTGGTGTCCTCCATCTATGTCTCAAACCTGGACTTAGATTGGTCACGTCGCGATCAGCTATTGCTGGCATGGCCGTGTACAAGACTACCGCTCCTTTTGGAGTACCTATCTGGATTTTCATCATGCCCTTGTTTGCGCCAATCTTATCTTACGTTTCAGTGGCCAACGAATTCATCGTCCTAAACGGATTGATATCAGTAAACCGATTGCAGCTTCTGTTGCAATTAAATATCAAACCGAGTTAGGTTCAAGGCTAGCCATCAATCCACCGAAAAGTATAGATGAGCACTGGCTACATTTACATGACGCCATGGAAATGGCGAATATAGTCGCCTGCAGCTTCACGAAGTTTCCCACTTATAAGCGCTGGGTTTATACAGACTCTTTACAACTCATTGAGATACGTCGGCCTACTTCCGCTAACTGCAAATTCTACGATAAACGTAGATTACTACGTAATGAAATGCGAGCTCATCAATACCCGAGCTAATGCTTTCCATGAACCAATGTTACAGCGTGACAAGTGCATAGGTTGATACGACGACGTTTAAATGAAATTTACGAGTGTGCTGTATAAGAAATCCAATAACGTGGGATACAAAAAGCTCTGACAACAGTGGTGTTCAGAAATGTTCGGTCTCCCACTTAACAGACATTCAACTTTTAAATGTAATTAAGGAACATGTAACAAAGAAAAATATTCCGGATCTCAGAATACAGTTAAATTATGTCCGTGGGCAAGAAGATCTATTAACTAGCAATCAATGCAGCTCCTAAAGAGAGAAGAGCAAAATCGGAATACCAAGATAGATTACCTCTTGAAAAGATTAATTGAATTAAAAAAGCAATGCCATTATCATCAGGATATTGGATTCAATGCAGTAAGTAGTCAGTTTGTCGAAGACGGCCAGTTCTCGGCAGAACAGACTTCAACGTATCGTAAGGGCAGAATCAGATCAGAGATAAATTTTGGTAAATCCAATGAATAATTTGGACGGGACATTGGTCTTCACTCCTGAAAAGACTGAGTACAAGTGTCAAGAATTTAAAGTCCCCATTCACAAAAGATACGGTTTAGATCTGATCGAGAACTGACCATTTAAAAAGGTCAAGTGCCTTTCATAGGGTCAATTGAAACTTTCAGCTTGAAACTTGTTTTCAGCATCAAGAATGTATCGTAAAATGTCTTCTAAACTGTTTTCCCCAAATGTCAGCTAGTCTGAAACATACAGAAAGTATGCAGTAACGATCTAATGTACGTGCGGTCGCGGCAATGGAAAAGTTGGTGGATAAAATTAAAGTCAAAATAAATACTATGGATCAAGATTTCATGACTGTAAGGACCTCACTTGTCGTATAAAGAACGATAAAGCTAAATATATGTTTGGAAGCAGATGAAAGGCATCACAAATAAACGAGTTTCTGATGTGTCAGGCTTCCAGAATGGATGGTCCCGAAAATCCTCTGGGCGTGGCACAAGGTATTTAGGATGGATTTTAGGCTCTTCACCTCAATCCTCGAACTTTGCTTAATAAAAGACCGGAGAGAGGACCGTAACTGACTCTCATAGGTTGAGTACAACCGTAATAACAGAAACATTGTTAACTCAGTCCATGGATAACAGCGAGGTTGGTTTCAAGAAGTCAATAGAATTGTTACTACATTCCACTTAAACCCCCAAATGCCCTGGTACGGCGGAGAGTGGGGAAAGTCCGCTCTCCCTCTCGAAATACTCTCACACGGCCACGCGTATACAGCCTCTGCCAGGGAAGTCCTACTCATTGCCTTTTCGTGGCGGGGGTGTTGTTTACGAAAATGAGAGGACGAAAAGTGAATGTCCGGCGCTTTAACCGGATCCCAAACCAATGGTGCACATGGGCTCCAGTATCCTGCGGGAACAAATGGCGTATGAACCAATCGTTGGTCACCGGCTCCCATGGGACTGCATCTCCTTACGATGCTCCACTGCCTTGTGGGTTAGACCTTTAGGTCAAAGGCTCGGGGTGTGGCCTCCTAAGATAACCACTTGCTTCGGTCTGGGCACCCGGGCAGTATCTCAGCCCACACACAATTATGATGAACTCTCTGTATCAATGGAAACTACTTTTCTCGCTTCGAATAACAATCAAATGATTCAAATGATTATTATTACTATTAATATTATTTACCACATTATTCACCCTCTTTTATACTTATACAACGGCTCGTCTTTGGTGGAAATTCGACTGTATCTAAACGTTCTCGAGTCACTGTCCGGTTGAAAATTGTATGTTACCACTGAATATGAGTACTGAGGCAGTTTTTCTGAAACCACGAGCACCACTCAAAATGGCTGCCTTCAACGTTCGCACACTTATGCAGGTTGGACAACACATAGGGCTGGCTATGTCTTTGGAAAGTCTTAATATTGATGTTTGCTGTCTATCCGAGACCCGTTTTCAAGACTCTGGTGAAGTACTACAAATTCGCTCTCCATCTGTCGCTTCGAAAAGCTTGTTTTACGTGCGCTTATCCGGGGGCCCTGTGGCATCTTCGTCTGGTCTTGCTGGTGTTGGTGTCGCACTAAGCGCTAGAGCTGAGGCAGCACTAGTCGATTGGATCCCCATTAACAGTCGGTTATGTGCTGTTAGATTAGAAAGTTCCATCAAAGTGAGAAGAAATCGGCGTGAGAAACGATGTCTTTTCGTCATCTCCGCCTATGCCCCGACAGATTGCAGCCCGGATGCAATCAAGGATGAGTTTTACCACCAGTTATCTGTTCTTCTCCAGAAAGTGCGTTCGACAGATATTGTAGTACTAGCCGGAGACTTGAATGCTCAGGTCGGGTGTCTAGGTACAGAAGAGAGTCGTCTAGGTGGCCGATGGGGACTTGTTGGTCGCAGGACAGATAACGGGGGCCGTCTACTGCAACTGTGCACAGACCACAACCTGTTTCTGGCTAGCACTAACTTTCAGCACAGTCATCGCTGATGTGCCACCTGGCGTCCTCCCTCTGCATCCCAAGCCTGGACTCAGACTGATCACATCTCGATCAGTTACCGCTGGCGTGGTTGTGTACAAGACTGCCGCTCCT